TAAAACCTAAACCCTAAACCCTAAACCCTAAACCCTAAACCCTAAACCCTAAACCCAAACCCAAAACCCTAAACCCTAAACCCTAAACCCTAAACCCTAAACCCTAAACCCTAAACCCTAAACCCTAAACCCTAAACCCTAAACCCTAAACCCTAAACAATAAACCCTAAACCCTAAACCCTAAACCCTAAACCCTAAACCCTAAACCCTAAACCCTAAACCCTAAACCCTAAACCCTAAACCCTAAACCCTAAACCCTAAACCCTAAAACCTTAAACCTTAACCCTAAACCCTAAACCCTAAAACCTAAACCCTAAACCCTAAACCCTAAACCCTAAACCCTAAACCCTAAACCCTAAACCCTAAACCCTAAACCCTAAAACCTCAACCCTAAACCCTAAACCCTAAACCCTAAACCCTAAACCCTAAACCCTAAACCCTAAACCCTAAACCCTAAACCCTAAACCCTAAACCCTAAAACCCTAAACCCTAAACCCTAAACCCTAAACCCTAAACCCTAAACCCTAAACCCTAAACCCTAAACCCTAAACCCTAAACCCTAAACCCTAAACCCTAAACCCTAAACCCTAAACCCTAAACCCTAAACCCTAAACCCTAAACCCTAAACCCTAAACTGCAAGCCACGGGCGGTGCATCGTCAGAAGCCCGTGGCGCCTGGCCGAGCGATCAGCGAGTCCGCCCATGCGCGCACGCCGCACCGACGAAGCGCGTAGCGCTGAGGAGGATGCGCTCCCCCGCGGGGATGCCTTGTGAGTGCTCCGAGAGACGAATAGAACCCTTAACCCTAGGCCCAGCCAAAAGCTTCGCTGCGCGCGCCTACATCCCCTGGGGCTCCAAACCTATGAAAATACAGCATGCGGCGCTCTTTCGGCCGTCCGTGGGGCCGCAAACCATATGAAATACAGTATGCGGCGTCCTTTCGGCTGGCGCACGTGCCAGGCGCTCCCAAGCGCTCCCAGGCGCTCCCAGGCGCTCCTAGGGGCTCCCCAGCGATCCCAGGCGCTCCCAAGCGCTCCCAAGCGCTCCCAAGCGCTTCCAGGCGCTCGCAAGCGTTCCCAAGCGCTCCCCAGCGCTTCCAAGCGTTCCCAGGCGCTCCCAAGCGCTCCCCGGTGTTTTCGGCACGCTCCCAAGCGCTCCCAGGCGCTCCCAGGCGCTCCTAGGGGCTCCCCAGCGATCCCAGGCGCTCCCAAGCGCTCCCAAGCGCTCCCAAGCGCTCCCAGGCGCTCCCACGCGCTCCCAAGCGCTCCCAGGCGCTCCCAGGCGCTGCCAGGCGCTCCGAAGCGCTCCCAGGCGATCCCAAGAGCTCCCAAGCGCTCCCAGGCGCTCCCAGGCGCTCCCAAGCGTTCTCAGGTGCTCCCCACCGCTCCCAAGCGTTCCCAGGCGCTCCCAAGCGCTCCCCGGCGCTTTCGGCACGCTCCCAAGCGCTCCCAGGCGCTCCCAGGCGCATGGCGCTCCCAGGCGCTCCCAGGCGCTCCCGGCACGCTCCCAGGCGCTCCCGGGCGCTCCCTGGCGCTCCCAAGCGCTCCCAAGTAGGTCCCATCCCCTGGGGACTGCCTTACAATTGAAAACACGCCTACGGCGGCCTCTCTGGCTGTGCTGGGGAGCGTAACGCACGTGGAAATACGCCCACGGCGGCCCCTTTGGCCTTCTTGGTGTGCCATGCAAAACGTTATGCCTGCGGCGGCTTCTTCGGCTATGCTTTGGTGCCTTGCTGGTGCATCTAGCAGAAAACCGCGACGCGAAACAAGAAAGAACACAGATGCGCCGAACGGCTCCGGGGACCCAGGTGATTCGCCCAAGACCTCGTAGAGCAAGCCCCGAGGAGTTCCAGGGGCCGGTTTCTCAAGTCCCACGGGGTTTCACGGGGGGGAGCGCGAGGGGCACGCGCCCGGCGCCCTCTCGCACTGCGCAATCCGCCGCGAAGGGCATCACACGACGCCTTCCGTGGCCATGTACGAGGGGGCGCCAGACCCGCCCCCTCGCGCTCCCCCTCCCCGCCGTTTCGAAACTCCAGGGGTGTCGAGAACGTCAGACAATCTCTACGTATGCCCTTCCTTCTGCTTTCCTTCCCTTCCCCGACGTGGCACTGACAGACCATCATTTTCCTAGCAGGAGTGCGCACGGTCGTGCCTTTGCACGCGACAGCGGGGCAGGCGCACCGCGTGGATACTGCGAGAGGCGAGCGGTCGCGCGCCAGCCAACGCGCGGCGCTCCGTCGGCAATCTCAGAACGCGGGTATGAAGTTGTCGCGCTCCACGTAGCCGCCAATCAGGTAGTCGTCCGACGTCGCGACACGGCTGAGCGCTGTATACCCCGCTGCTGGCCGAGGCCATCCGTCCAGGTATATAGTGATGTGGGGGAACTCGTCGCCTTGCACTTTGTCGATGGTGCTGGCGTACCCGAGGCGGATTGGAAAGTAGACCGCGTTGCCCTTCTCGCGATCGGTCCAGCGAGTGATGGCCAGACGATGGCCAGTCTTCGTCATCACGCGCAGCATGTCTTCCTCGGCGTGGTAGTTCTCCACCTCGCACAGCATGCCGTTGACCTCGTCAGCTTCCTTGTTCTTGTTCTTCGTCAGGTACAACTTCATCCCCTTATAGATCGGCACTTTGCTTGGAACCAGCCTGCGGTCCGTGCGGAGCTTGCCATCCAGGTAGTTCTCGGGGTTCAGTTCCACGCCCCCGTCCAGCGTGGCCAGCGGGGTCTTGCGGCCGTACAGCGCAGCGACTGCCGCCTCGTTCACGGCCGCGGCGCCCCTGCGCGTGCAGGTGACGATCCGCGTGTCTGGGTGCTTCTCGAAGAGCTTCTTCATTTCGGCGGGCGTGGGATCGCCTCTGCTCTTCCACGCCTTGTGATCGCGCACAATCTTGCGGAACGTCTCCTTCGAAGGCTTGTCTGTCCGAAGCTCGTCCAGGATCTCCTGGAAGCGCTCCTCCTTGCACCGCCAGGTCTCGGTGAGCTTCACGTGGAAGCAGCGCGGCTGCTTCCATGCGGCACTCTCCCACGGACGTGTCGGCTCGACCCCCGGGAGCTGGTACTTGTCCCCGAGGAAGACCAGCGCGGGGACTTTCCCAGCGACGCTCCACAGCTTCAGGATGCGCTCGAAACTGTCGCAGCTCAGAAGCGATACCTCGTCCACCACTACCAAGTCGAAGTCCGTCATCCTGTGAAGACTCTCCGAGATGGGCTCATGCAACTTGAATGCGGCGTGGCACGTATCGATTGTTAGGCCGTCCAGGCCTTGCAGTGCTTGCTTCATGCGGCTGGACAGCTGCGCCGTCGGGAGGGCGAAGAGCACGCGCGCGCCTTGCTCCTGGGCGCGGCGAATGCAAGACTTCACCACGGTCGTTTTCCCCGTCCCAGGCTTCCCAAGGCAGATGACGGGCGTGTTCTTCTTGTAGGCTTCCTCGCGCGCCTCGTCCGCCTCCTCCCAGTCCTCCGACAGCTCCGCCCGCACGGCACGGTCCACGCGCTCGTTGATCGCCTCCTCCAGCTGCAACTGCTTCGGGTTGAAGTCGACCTCCTCCTGGCCCTCGCCGCGCGCTGGCCTGCGGTTGGCGATGACCGCGGCCTCGGCGTCGGCCGCGGCCTTCTCGTCGGCCTTGTCGATGATGCCCGTCAGGTACATGTTGATGAGCTTCCGCTGCCCCACGATCATGTGATGCACAGCCTCGGTGAACTTGCTGGACTTCGCGGAAGCGCTCATGTAGTCCACGAGCCGCCTGCCATCGGTGAACAAGTCATGGTGCTCTTCAGCGACGCGGCCCTGGTCGGAGCACAGTCGCAGCGCCGCCGCGAGATACTTGTATTTCTGCGGAACCAGGCGATTGACATCCTCGAACTCGAGCTCGCCGAGCGACCGGAACGGCACGTTCATTGCAGCCCACTGGCCGTAGTAGCGGTCGTTGAGCTCGTACACCGTGTCGACGCTGACCACCTTCTCGCCCTGCATGCGGTAGGCTCGCGCGAACTCCTTGAGGCTCGGAAAGTCGTCCTCGCCCTCGCTCTTTTCGTCTCTGTGCTTCTTCGCGAGGAACTCCTCGAAGGTCTTCGGCTGCTCCTCGTCTTCGGCGTCGGAGTCTTCGTCACTGTTCCCGCTACCTCCGCCATCAGCATCGGTCATGCCTTTGTACTCAGCGCGCAGGAAGCGCCAGTGAGCGTCGAGCGCCTGGGGCTCCTCGCCCTCGGGCACGGTCGCGCGGTACCGCCTGTGCAGGGCCAGCACCAGCTCCTGCTTGTGCTTGCGCTTCAGCCATCCAGCGATGGCGCCGTCGTCAGTAGTCTTCCGAAGCCACTCCAGGAGCGTCATGCCCTCGTGGCGCCACGAGCAGTCAGCATACCTCTGGACCCAGTCGGGCACATCCGCCATGCCCGAGTAAGGCGCCGTCACGGTGCGGAAGCCGCCGCTGACCGTAGAGATGTCGTACTGTCTGAATTGCGCTCCACACAGCTGCAGGATCATCTCTGGCTCGTAGGGGTGGTACTCGAAGCAGACGCGCCTGGCCACGCTGTCCGCGGAGGCCTTGTCGCTCATCCACTCGTCGTAGCTGCTGTCCGAGAACTTCGCCACATACTTGGACACGTATTGCAGGAGCATGGCCTCCCCGTCGCTGGTCTGCCAGTCCTGATGGCACGGGAGCCCGTCCATTACGTCAGCGCAGTACGCTCGGAGGCCCGCGTCGTGATCCTCCTCGGTGTGCTTCAGCTGGAGGACACCATCGTCGCCGTGCACCCCCGACGGGCCGTGGTAGATCGGCCACTTGCTCTCTGCGTCGCCGTGCTTGTTGAGCTGCGATCCGTCCACATAGCCCTTCAGGTCGTCCGAGAAGCCGTGGGGCTTGGTCGCAAAGAGGTGATGCTCCAATCCCATGTTCGACATGGCGTCGTCGTCCGCGAAGAAGAGGACGAGCAGGTGCGGTCGGCCAGAGCCGTCGTAGCGCTTCGTGCCCTCCTTGCGGCTGCCGTCCTGGAACTCCAGCCGCGTGAACGTCTGGACGCGAACCTGTTTGCCGTCGGCGTCTGTCGCGGCGAACACGTGCTTTGTCCAGCTGCGGCCGCTGCGGTCCATCTTCTGGTTGTTATTGCCCGCCAGCATGCCTCGGACGATCTGCATGAGCACATGCGACATGTGCAGCGTCTCCCCCACGGGGAGGTACATGCGGGTCCGCAGTGTCTTCTCCATCTCATCGCGCAGCCAGTCGTGGTACTTGAAGCACGGCTCCCACGGCGCAATGGTGAAGAACAGCTTCGGGAAGCCCACCTGGCGCACGAGGTCGACAAGGGCGTTGTGCACCTCCTTCCAGTAGAGCGGTGAGAAGGTATGGCCCTTCATGAGCATCCGCATCGGCACGTTGTCGAGTCCCAGGTTCTTCTTCGCACCGAGCGTCGCCCAGAGGTTCAGGTCGTACACGAACTGGAGCAGCTCGAAGTTGGATCCGTACCCAAGCAGCGGCGAGAGGCACTTGGTCATGAACGACCGCTTGACGCTGGTGCGCTGGCCACCGCCGTCGCCGCCCTCGTCCTCCTCGGCGTCCGAGTCGTAGCCGTACTCTTGCCTTCTTCTTCTTGGCCTCCTGGGCGTCGCGCCTCTCCTCGCGCCTCGCGTCGGACCACTGCTCGTGCGTCTCCGTCATCTCGGTGCACCAGTACAGGTTTGGCCAGAGAGCGCACTCCAGCCCGACCTCCTGCAGGAAATGATATGGGCGCTTGCGCTTCCTGTCGGCAGCGTCCTCGCCATGCATGCGGAGGAACTTCTCGTGCATGTCGTGGAACCGCTTGTACGAGGACTCTTCGCAAGACAGCAGGTACTTGTAAGCCTTCTTCGCCGTCCGCCACGCGTCATCGTCCAGCTCCTTGATCTTGTCCTTGACGTGCCACTTCGAGAAATAGAACGTGATCATCTTCACCTTCTTGCGGTAGCCGTTCGGGCGGCCGAACGTGTCGGTGGAGCGCGTCTCGGGGCCGACGTCGATCTCGATGGGCCGGAGGGCTTCGACGATGTCCTCTGACAGGCCGCGGAGTGGCCCTGGTACGTCATCAGGCAGCGGGACGTACATCTCGCGAGAGGCGTTGCAGCGGCGACAGGCGCTCTTCGAGATCTCCTCGCTGGCATCCAGGAACATATCGATCTCGTGCATGGGCCGCGGCTGCAGGACATGGCACTCCTTGCAAATGCCCCAAGAGCCTTTGGCGGCCCAGGACCGCAGCCCCTTCGACAGATCACTGAAGCCTGCTTCGCCAATCGGCGGTTCCAAGTCCTTGCTCTTTGGGACCTCGTCGGCGCGACCGCGCAACTTTCGTTCGGCTTTGTCCTTGTAGAACGAGTTCTCGACCTTCTTCAAGTCCGCCAGGGTTAGCTTGCGGAACTTCTTGCGAGCTTCCTCGTCGACCGTCGGGCTCTCCATCACCAGCCGCCGTTTTGCCAGCTTCGTGGGCCAGTTCGTCTTGCCAGTGCGCCTTCGAGCTTTTGCCGCCTGCTGGTTCTGCCGGACAGTCTTCTTCTTTAGCTGTGCGAGGTAGTTGTCCCCGAAGACCTCCTTCAGGATTGCCTCGGCCTTGGCAAATACGGCCTCATCCTTCTCGCGGAATACCTTCAGCTGCGTCAGCAAGCCGTTGCGCTTCACGCCCTGCATGCCGCGCAGCCTCGGCGGGTCGCACCAACTGCACAGGTGCTTGTCTGCCTTCTTCACGTACGCGGGCTGCCCTGGGTTCGCCGTGCTGAAGGGGCACATGGCATCCCCTGCGCCGCGGCAGCAGTTGTGCGGCGTGACGATGACCTTATATTCCTGCGCGGTGAGGTGCCTGCGCAGCCGCCCCAGCGCCTTCTGCTTCAGCGCAGGGTTACGAGCTTCGAACTTCTTCAGGTCGGTCATGGCCTCCTTCTTCTTGGCGGGATTGCTTGCCGCCTCCTTCATGCGAGCAGGCGTGCACCAGAGGCACTTCCCGTCGAGGGCTCGAGCACGCTGTCCAGGATGCTCTCGGGAGAACAAGCAGACGCCCTCGTCCTCCTTGCTGCGGAGCCTGCGGCCCATGGCGCGCGCCAGGCTGTACCCCTCGCACAGGCGATGGCGTCTGCGCCCTGCGGCCGCGCCTTCGCCTTCCGCGAGTACTGGCGGCGGCTCCGCTGCAGCTGGTGGCCCTGCTGCGGCTGCTTCCTCGTCGGGCTCCATGGCAGCAGGAATCTCCTCCTCGGCGGCCTGCGAGACCACGTTGCCCTGGTCACCCTCGATTGGCGGCGGTGGCGGCACGCCCACCTGCGAGCGCTCCGAGATTATGCCGACAGCGCGGGCAATGAGCTGATCGCCCCTCTCGTGCATCTTCAGCCGCTCCACGGCCATGTCGTAGATGCCGATGTCAAGCTCGTGCAGGTTCGCCAGGCTGTGCGCGGTCAGCTTGGACTGCTGCGGCGTCGCGCAGATGGTTGCCATGCGAATGGGAGAGCACCACTGACACTTCCCCTCGAACTTGCCCTGCGCGCGCTTGCCCTTCTCCCACGGATTGAAGCAGCACTCGATGACGATCCCGTCGTCGGTCGCAAAGCCAGAGCAGCGCCGAGGGCCCATCGCCGCGAGAGTGCGCTGAAGGTGGATGCGACGGCTGATGCCTGCCAACGATGGCTGCCAGGTGCGCGTGCCAAGCGGTGGCGAAATCAGGCTTGAGCCAAAGCGGCAACGGAACCAACGACATCGCGACTGATGTTGCGGTGAGCAAAGGCAGATCCCAAGGTTGCTGCAACTGACACGCCCCTGCCGGCTGCATGCCCGACGCCTGCCGTTGAGAACTGCACCGCCCATGCATCTCTCCATCCGTTTGAAACGCTCCCTGCTCCGAATGACTACTCCAGCACATCGCCAATACACCTGTCTCTACTGTCCTCTGCGAAAGATGTGTTCGGAAATGTTTCCTAGACCTGTGCGCGAGCAACTCGTCCCTGGCAACGCATGTTCATTTCAACAGTGTGCGAGGGGGAGCCAGACCCTCCCCCTCGCTCTCCCCCTTCCAACCTGCGAACACGTGCGCGTGTCATGCCATACAACGCACTCTCCAACACTGCCCGTGCGTCGCCTCTCCTCTCCCGAGTCCGTGAATGGCCAGAGCTGTGTGCAATTTGTCTTGCTCACACTGCATCGCCTATGGCAGAACCGTGCGACGACCGAAACAACGCCAATGCCTTCGGAGTTTCCGAAACTCTGACATGCTCTACGAGACACTGCTCCGGGACGCAAGTGCCCGCGGACGTGGGCGGCGGCCGCAGCGGCCGCAAAGGCTACACCGAAGGCGCCGACTGTGGCGTCCTTCAAAGATAGCTCGGAGATAGCGCTCACGAGCGCCCGAGGCACGCCTGGCGTGGGTTGCGGCCGCAGCGGGCGCAGGGGCTACAGCGACGGCGCCGACTGTGGCGTCCTTCAAAGATAGCTCGGAGATAGCGCTGACGAGCGCCCGAGGCACGCCAGGCGTGGGCCGCGGCCGCAGCGGCCGCAGAGGCTACAGCGAAGGCGCCGACTGTGGCGTCCTTCAAAGATAGCTCGGAGATAGCGCTCACGAGCGCCCGCGGCGCGCCTGGCGTGGGCGGCGGCCGCAGCGGGCGCACAGGCTACAGTGAAGGCGCCGACTGTGGCGTCCTTCAAAGATAGCTCGGAGATAGCGCTCACGAGCGCCCGAGGCACGCCTGGCGTGGGCGGCGGCCGCAGCGGGCGCAAAGGCTACAGCGAAGGCGCCGACTGTGGCGTCTTCAAAGATAGCTCGGAGATAGCGCTCACGAGCGCCCGAGGCACGCCTGGCGTGGGCGGCGGCCGCAGCGGGCGCAAAGGCTACAGCGAAGGCGCCGTCTGTGGCGCCCTTCAAAGATAGCTCGGAGATAGCGCTCACGAGCGCCCGAGGCACGCCTGGCGTGGGTTGCGGCCGCAGCGGGCGCAGAAGCTACAGCGAAGGCGCCGACTGTGGCGTCCTTCAAAGATAGCTCGGAGATAGCGCTGACGAGCGCCCGAGGCGCGCCTGGCGTGGGCGGCGTCCGCAGCGGGCGCAAAGGCTACAGCGAAGGCGCCGACTGTGGCGTCCTTCAAAGATAGCTCGGAGATAGCGCTCACGAGCGCCCGAGGCACGCCTGGCGTGGGCGGCGGCCGCAGCGGGCGCAAAGGCTACAGCGAAGGCGCCGACGGTGGCGTCCTTCAAAGATAGCTCGGAGATAGCGCTCACGAGCGCCCGAGGCACGCCCGGCGTGGGTTGCGGCCGCAGCGGGCGCCGAGGCTGCAGCGAAGGCGCCGACTGTGGCGTCCTTCAAAGATAGCTCGGAGATAGCGCTCACGAGCGCTCGAGGCACGCCCGGCGTGGGCGGCGGCCGCAGCGGGCGCAGAGGCTACAGCGAAGGCGCCGACTGTGGCGTCCTTCAAAGATAGCTCGGAGATAGCGCCCACGAGCGCCCGCGGCACGCCTGGCCTGGGCTGCGGCCGCAGCGGGCGCAAAGGCTACAGCGGAGGCGCCGACTGTGGCGTCCTTCAAAGATAGCTCGGAGATAGCGCTCACGAGCGCCCGAGGCACGCCTGGCGTGGGCGGCGGCCGCGGCGGGCGCAAAGGCTACAGCGAAGGCGCCGACGGTGGCGTCCTTCAAAGATAGCTCGGAGATAGCGCTCACGAGCGCCCGAGGCACGCCTGGCGTGGGCGGCGGCCGCAGCGGGCGCAAAGGCGACAGCGAAGGCGCCGACTGTGGCGTCCTTCAAAGATAGCTCGGAGATAGCGCTCACGAGCGCCCGAGGCACGCCTGGCGTGGGCGGCGGCCGAAGCGGCCGCAAAGGCTAAAGCGAAGGCGCCGACTGTGGCGTCCTTCAAAGATAGCTCGGAGATAGCGCTCACGAGCGCCCGAGGCACGCCTGGCGTGGGCGGCGGCCGCAGCGGGCGCAAAGGCTACAGAGAAGGCGCCGACTGTGGCGTCCTTCAAAGATAGCTCGGAGATAGCGCTCAGCAGCGCCCGAGGCACGCCTGGCGTGGGTTGCGGCCGCAGCGAGCGCAAAAGCTACAGCGAAGGCGCCGACTGTGGCGTCCTTCAAAGATAGCTCGGAGATAGCGCTCACGAGCGCCCGAGGCACGCCTGGCGTGGGCGGCGGCCGCGGCGGGCGCAAAGGCTACAGCGAAGGCGCCGACTGTGGCTTCCTTCAAAGATAGCTCGGAGATAGCGCTCACGAGCGCCCGAGGCACGCCTGGCGTGGGCGGCGGCCGCAGCGGGCGCGAAGGCTACAGCGAAGGCGCCGACTGTGGCGTCCTTCAAAGATAGCTCGGAGATAGCGCTCACGAGCGCCCGAGGCACGCCTGGCGTGGGACGCGGCCGCAGCGGGCGCAAAGGCTACAGCGAAGGCGCCGACGGTGGCGTCCTTCAAAGATAGCTCGGAGATAGCGCTCACGAGCGCCCGAGGCACGCCTGGCGTGGGCCGCGGCCGCAGCGGGCGCAAAGGCTACAGCGAAGGCGCCAGCTGTGGCGTCCTTCAGAGATAGCTCGGAGATAGCGCTCACGAGCGCCCGAGGCACGCCTGGCGTGGGCGGCGGCCGCAGCGGGCGCAAAGGCTACAGCGAAGGCGCCGACTGTGGCGTCCTTCAAAGATAGCTCGGAGATAGCGCTCACGAGCGCCCGAGGCACGCCTGGCGTGGGCCGCGGCCGCAGCGGCCGCAGAGGCTACAGCGAAGGCGCCGACTGTGGCGTCCTTCAAAGATAGCTCGGCGATAGCGCTCACGAGCGCCCGAGGCACGCCTGGCGTGGGCGGCTGCCGCAGCGGCCGCAAAGGCTACAGCGAAGGCGCCGACTGTGGCGTCCTTCAAAGATAGCTCGGAGATAGCGCTCCCGAGCGCCCGAGGCACGCCTGGTGTGGGTTGCGGCCGCAAAGGCTACAGCGAAGGCGCCGACTGTGGCGTCCTTCAAAGATAGCTCGGAGATAGCGCTCACGAGCGCCCGAGGCACGCCTGGCGTGGGCCGCGGCCGCAGCGGGCACAAAGGCTACAGCGAAGGCGCCGACTGTGGCGTCCTTCAAAGATAGCTCGGAGATAGCGCTCACGAGCGCCCGAGGCACGCCTGGCGTGGGCCGCGGCCGCAGCGGGCGCAAAGGCTACAGCGAGGGCGCCGACTGTGGCGTCCTTCAAAGATAGCTCGGAGATAGCGCTCACGAGCGCCCGGGGCACGCCTGGCGTGGGCGGCGGCCGCAGCGGCGCAAAGGCTACACGAAGGCGCCGACTGTGGGGCTTCAAAGATCAGCTCGGAGAATAGCGCCCGAGCGCCCGAGGCACGCCTGCTCGTGGGCGGCGGCCGCAGCGGGGCGAAGGGCTTACAAGCGGACGGCGCCGACTGTGGCGTCCTTCAACGATAGCTCGGAGATAGCGCTGACGAGCGCCCGAAGGCAGGCCCGGCGTGGGCCGCGGCCGCAGCGGCGCAGAGGTACAGCGAAGGCGGCCGACTGTGGCTCCTTCAAAGATAGCCGGGAGGATAGCCCTCAGAGCGCCCCGCGGGCGAGCCTGGCGTGGGGCGGCGGCCCCGCAGCGGTCGCAAAGGACTACAGTGAAGGCGCCGACTGTGGCGTCCTTCAAAGAAGATAGGAAGAGAGATAGCGCTGACGAGCGCCCGCGGCACGCCTGGCGTGGGCGGCGGCCGCATCGGGCGCAAAGGCTACAGCGAAGGCGCCGACTGTGGCGTCCTTCAAAGATAGCTCGTAGATAGCGCTCACGAGCGCCCGAGGCACGCCTGGCGTGGGCGGCGGCCGCAGCGGTCACAAAGGCTACAGCGAAGGCGCCGACGGTGGCGTCCTTAAAGATAGCTCGGAGATAGCGCTCACGAGCGCCCGAGGCACGCCTGGCGTGGGTTGCGGCCGCAGCGGGCGCAAAGGCTACAGCGAAGGCGCCGACTGTGGCGTCCTTCAAAGATAGCTCGGAGATAGCGCTCGCGAGCGCCCGAGGCACGCCTGGCGTGGGCGGCGGCCGCAGCGGGCGCAAAGGCTATAGCGAAGGCGCCGACTGTGGCGTCCTTCAAAGATAGCTCGGAGATGGCGCTCACGAGCGCCCGCGGCACGCCTGGCGCGGGCGGCGGCCGCAGCGGGCGCAAAGGCTACAGCGAAGGCGCCGACTGTGGCGCCCTTCAAAGATAGCTCGGAGATAGCGCTCACGAGCGCCCGAGGCACGCCTGGCGTGGGTTGCGGCCGCAGCGGGCGCAAAGGCTACACGGAAGGCGCCGACTGTGGCGTCCTTCAAAGATAGCTCGGAGATAGAGCTCACGAGCGCCCGAGGCACGCCTGGCGTGGGCCGCGGCCGCAGCGGGCGCAAAGGCTACAGCGAAGGCGCCGACGGTGGCGTCCTTCAAAGATAGCTCGGAGATAGCGCTCACGAGCGCCCGAGGCACGCCTGGCGTGGGCCGCGGCCGCAGCGGGCGCAAAGGCTACAGCGAAGGCGCTGACTGTGGCGTCCTTCAAAGATAGCTCGGAGATAGCGCTCACGAGCGCCCGAGGCACGCCTGGCGCGGGCGGCGGCCGCAGCGAGCGCAAAGGCTACAGCGAAGGCGCCGTCTGTGGCGCCCTTCAAAGATAGCTCGGAGATAGCGCTCACGAGCGCCCGAGGCACGCCTGGCGTGGGCGGCGGCCGCAGCGGGCGCAAAGGCTACAGCGAAGGCGCCGACGGTGGCGTCCTTCAAAGATAGCTCGGAGAGAGCGCTCACGAGC